GCCCTCGCTAGCTGATGATGGACACCACCACCCCCTCTAGCGAATGATGATGGATATCACCCCCCTCTCTAGCTGGTGATGATGGACCGCCCCCCGTTCTTCTGTACGACGAGAAAATCACACGAGCCAGCCAATGAACAGACGCACGAGCCTACTGCAGGTACTTTTGTGCAACTAAAAAAATATTCCACCTCCAACTCTAGTATATATTTTGTTGGACCCCTATGTATTGGAGGGGAGCCGGGTATGGACGTTAGGGTAGGGATAGGGATAGGAACACCTCTCTATTTCGTGGATAAAACATCTCCGACAAGGTGGTCGGTAAGAAATGCACTAGGCATACACACATATGCACACCATGCGATGAGATGATAACGCTAGCATGACAATCGACCACACCATAGATACCGCATGTACAGCAGTACAACAGTATAGGTCGAAAATCGGACGCATGCGAAGTGTAGCGCGAGCCAACAATTGCATGTGTGCCCTCTGGAGATATGTATGCATCGTAGCTCGGGTATGTAGCTCAACATAATCTGCGTCTGTGGTGTTGGCCGACACCCATTTTTTCCATCACTTTTCACATGACCGCTCACCAACAAGGACCACAATCAGACAATGGCATTCGAAGAGCGCGCCACACCGTTCTACATGCGTAGTAAGATACGCGCGTGCACAGCGTTAGAGTAGTCAAGGTAACTCATCTGTTCGTTCGATTCGATGCCGACACTCTCTTGTTTCATGGTTCGAGAGAAAAGTCACAGACCGCCCGTCCCAGTAGAAGCAGTACAAGGCAGGTGAGACGTCGTGCATGTGAACGTGTCCTTTTTAAGTGGGACACAACGCAACAACTTTGTATGCATGCGCTTCACGCTTATTTTTCTGGAAACAAGCGCCTATCAAAGAGTAGTCTGTATAGGTTTGCCGGTCTTCTGGGAACCGTCTTGAAACATCCCAAGGGATACGCCCGCATGTCCTACGGCGCTTCAAGCCTGCCTGATCTAAAACGCAACTGCTGTAAACTGCTGCTGACCATCCCACCTGGCAAGGTGTCCCTCCCAGGCCCGCCACCGGCGCCCGCTGCTCTCCAGGCCGTCTTCATTGTAGCAGTTGTTGTACGAATATCCTCTCGCCAACCCTGCTGCTGCCTTGCCCATGGTGACCACACGGCCAACCTGCAGCATGGTGAACACGAGCACACCCGGAGAGCAAACCGCACGTTTTGGACGGTGAAGGCAGCATCTATGAAGGCACCTCGCAGGAGCGGATCAGAGATCCTGTGCAAACCCGTTGCGGATGGTCAAGTGGTGAGATTTGGACATTTCAGCGCGAACCATTTTGGAACGTACGCAAATGCATAAGGGTCCGCGGCGGGTGTGTAGAACTAACGACACTTCGAGGACTGAAGATGCCTGCAGAGACCAAACGGCTTTTCTTCGATGAGTTGCGTTGCTGTGGGCTGCCCTGTGGGCATGATCAACGGCAAACGGGCTGGAGCGTGTGCAGTGGGAACGTTCCTGAACTTTTGTACATCACTGCTGTGCAGCAGCGGCAGTTGAACGGGTGTCGTCTCAGTCTTCCACGAGACCACCTCGCACAATTCGAGGAAGCAAAGCGACATCTCCTGCCGGGGGTTATGCGCCGAGCTCTCGAACGACACAAATGCCTCAAACATACACACAGCGGCCATGGGTCGGTAGTTGCGCGTTCCCCGTCTACCATACAACACACGCCATATGAGCTTGTTGCGAAAACGTGTAACTCATCAACCGAACAATTTCATAACAGAGAGACGAACGCAGCCGCGCCACAAAACGTTCTCACCTTGCAAAAAGGGTGTGATTCCGAAGCAACTATCAGCGCAATAATATCTCTGCGAAGAGTGGGTGTATCGGAGAGCCAGCCTGGCCGTCGCCTACAACAAGCCTTCCCGGTGGGGATGACAGGGAGTGCGTCGATAAATCTCGTTGGAACCGTAGGAAAAATGTACGGAGGCTTTTTTCGGGGCTTCGTCAGAAATTTCGGTTTCGCCCCGAAGCGTGATTCGTGAGTTGCTCCCTGACCGATGCACTCTACAGCTACTCTCTCGATCGACGATGAGACGAGATAGAAGCTCTCCTGGCGGGGTTCTATCGTTATACTTATCAAAAACTGCTTATACTTTTCCCCTCGTAGGGGGGGAGATTGTGCGCAGCAGGGAGAATAGTGACGCGGCAATGTACACGGAACTCGCAAAGTCGGCGATGTCTGTCTGCTGCTGATATACTCACGCTGCCAAATCCGCGAGTTTAGGCTTGAAATTTTGTGGCTACCCTTAGAAGACAATAGAGGGTGCGCCGGGGCCAGAATTTTTCGAATGTGAGTTGATTTGGGTATTAAATGCTCAATTGGCGGTGCAGTGGGGGATGCTTCCGGTAGTGCTGAAATCAGTATTAAAAAAGTCTTGCAGATAAAGCCGAAATTTCGTGTACACTTGCATGTACCTGGGAGCATTGCGAGAACAATAATGATGGTAGGTGCAAGGCTCAGGTCATCTTCCATCAAAAGTTATGGCCTCGTAAAAGATCTTCTACAACGACCTCGAACCAGTCATATGGGGATGGAGTGTAGACGCATCGTAGAACGCGTTTTCGTTTGAAGTTGGCGTCTTGTTTGAGAGTAGATGTGACAGATTTGCGTAGAATAGGGTAAGATGTTATCATGAACGGAGAAGGAAGGGCTTTTCCAACACGGAGATGTAGCATGGATCAAAGCATTTGTTGGATTTCAGCTTTTACAAGCGGACATCAACGCAGTAGTATTTTAGCAAGCTCACGAACGCATATAGGATTCCATGAGGATTTTTTTTTTTGCCTTCCGACAGTAGTTGTAGTTGCAGATGTACCTCAGAAAACTTTCACATTATTATGTCTTATACTCCACATGTACGAAGTACAACAACATATGTAGGACTTATTTNTATTTATTTATTTATTTTTGCCTTCCGACAATTGCAGATGTACCTCAGAAAACTTTCACTTAATGTCTCATACTCTACATGAATATTAAACCAATACGAAGTACAACAACATATGTAGGACTTATTTCTACTGTCACTTACATCGTAAAAATATCTCCCCTTCAATATGAAATAAAACCAATGACAATCCTCATGGTATCTATCCTACATGCGTTCGTAAGCTTGCACTACTACTGCGTTGATGTCCTCATTCATGTAGACTTAAAGCTGAAATCCAACAAATGCTTTGATCCATGCTACATCNTGACCGAAACCTTCTTGCTGCTGCGCATATCCGCCGCGAGGCATGCGCGTGGTGGTGTAGTTGGGTCGGCACTGATGGGGTCAGGCGAAAAAATGTAGATGCGCGGGCCTCTGGCCGTCGGCGTAGGCAGCGATGCCCATCTCATTTTTTGTGCGCGGAGGCAGACACCGTCAGAAGGTGGACGGGAACTATGTACACGGCCCTAGGTTGGCTAGAGGGCGCTGCATTGCCTCAGTAACCTGGCTTCGCCATCAAAGGAGGAGGGAGCAGGTGGCGACGAGCTGAACTAGGCTGGTTGACCATTCGGCGCGAGAATTTTCTTTTTTTCGGACCAACAACCTCGAGTGCAACGAGGGAGAAAGCGAGGAACCGACTGGGAAGGACAGCAACGAGAGCGTGTACGGACGGAGCAGGTCGAGTGGCGTTATGCTCGGGCTGACTACAGCGGCGCCGGACGGAGCAGCGGCACCGGAGCATGCGGGCGACATCGACACGTGGCGCACGGACAAACATTTCTGTGTTGTCAATTTTTTTTCGTTTTTTTTCTGACTTTCCGTTTTTCGGTGTTGGTTCTATGTGATGACGTCGTCACTGGTTTTGTAGAGAGACCCGTCAGAGATGGCGTGGCTAACCCGGGTGCCTTGGTTATGTGCCTGATCGTGGAAGACCCCTTCAATGTGGAACGATTCTTAGCTATTGTCGATATTTTCACTGCGTGCCTAACACAGACGATCGGGAGAGGTTCGGGTGATTGTCCATTGCAATCATGGCTTTGGTTGGTTGTTCTTTTTCACTGTACGTCCGCAGACACATTCTGACAGCACTTCAGACAGCAGCTTTGTGCCCCGCCAGCTTCTTGTTCCATGCCTACCATGGTGTTTTTGTACAGACAGCACTTCAGACAGCATTATGCTGTAGTCGGCAATCTTCCGTTTTGGTATAGAGTGGGACAGGGAGGGGGTGATGCTACTGTAGTCGAACGGTGGGACGGACGTGCAGTTAAGTTTTTGGGCACGCATACGGTGCTGCAGGGATTTTTAGGTGTACCTCTTCGGGCTCTTGGATACCTTTTTCTCGTTATTATATGTGTGCGTGTTCTTTAGATCCTCAGATGGCTCTAGCACTTTCGTGACCACGGGCTGAGAGTCTTTTGCTAGATTTTGGCATTTAGCAACTGACATACGGTATAATGTGAAGACAACAACAACAACAACAATGCTACATCTCCGTGTTGGAAAAAAAGACCTTTCTTCTCCGTATGGAGGATTGTCATTGGTTACATTTCAAGTTGAAGAGATGATATTTTAAAGATGTAAGTGACAGTAGAAATAAGTCCTACATATATATATATATGTTGTTGTACTTCGTATCGGTTTAATATTCATGTAGAGTATGAGACATTAAGTGAAAGTTTTCTGAGGTACATCTGCAATTGTCGGAAGGCAAAAAAGAAAAAAAACATCACTCAAGATACTGAGGAAAAGTGAGGATATCGCGATTGATTTCCGAGGCGGTTTTTACGACCTAGAACCTAAAATTTTGACCAATGTGTGGTTGGCAATGGTCTTACAATTGTCCCCGAGTCGGATGCGGTGTTTTCTTTTTATGTCCACAATAACCATTATATTGGGATTCTCAGTTGTTTAATAAAGGGATAGTCTACTGCACGAAAAAAAAAAAGCACCGCACCCGACTCCGGGACATTTGTAAGATATCATTACCAACCACATATTATTATCAAAAATCTAGATTGATAACCCCCTCGGAAATCGCTTTCAACCATTTTGTGAGCTTCTTGGCTGGCCCAGCTTGTGGCAACGTATTTCTTTGCTCTGGTCAAACGCTCTGCGACGCAATGAGAAATCGTACAATAATACATGATTTCAGTGCACACAGGCTTAAATAGACTCAAATAAAGTATCCAGCCGGTTTCCCTCTACTCACTGCAAATACTCCAACACTTACGGGCTGGACGATGGTGCTGAAACGGCAAGTGGAGATATTAACAGCGGCACCGACAGCACTCGCCGCAGGCAGGCCCGAGAGGGAAGGTGTGAGCACAAACCATCTGAGTCGACGGTGTTGATCATTCATGCTGAGGGATCGGCGAATCGTTTTATGGCTATAACCCGCTTCAGTCAGGTTGGCGAGTCCAACGTATCAAGGGCGGCTGGCACCAACAAGTAGTCTATGCTGTCAACGTCAAGCCGTGTTCCACATGTATGTTTGATTGGAAGGAAGATTCTCTCGATTTTCGACGTTGCGCTTGTAAATCACTTGATTGTTGTAGCCAAGAGGGCTTCGGGTTACCCTTTAGAAGAGAGACATAACGACTTTTCAGATGCGGACTTGCAAGTATCGCGACACGTTGTTCGTGCTGTACAGATCAGAAGAAATGTTGGAGCAGGAAAGTTTTGTACGAAATTTCTGGAACCTTGTAAATGACATTAAATAGTCATAAAAAAAGCACCGTTCTTGCAATACTAGTACTACAGCAGTTGGCGCCCGCAGTTAAGAAACGCATATTTCAGGTCCAGCCTCGAATTCTTATTGTGTGCTATATACTCAGCGTATGTATGTCGTTCAGTTTCATATTTCGAGTTTCTTATTTGCTCGTGCAGCCAAATCCTGCTGAATTTCTTAAATCGGCAATTTCTTATTATTTCTCTGCTTGCATACTACACAACGTTCCACATATACAAATGATTTTAACTGCTTTCCTCGACCCCCGTACTCAACCCCAATTCTCACTGCCGACGGCTGCACGAAAGGCCACTCCCTAGAAGCGAAATGTATCCAGCGGCAACGTCTCGCTATCGCTACAAGGTCCTGTACCCCCCTCATGAGTGAAGGCTGAAACTAAACAAATACATCAACACCGCATGATGCCTCACCCGCACGCTGACGTGCCCAACAACGAAGACTACCCCGTCATTATGATGCAAGCTCCGTGAGGCGAACATTGGGGGTTGTCACCCTTTTGCGCCCCCCGCTCCCTTCCTATCTTTTTGAGACATTTCTTATTGTGTGACCTAGGTTAAGCTATGTTTCTTTACCCTATTTTCTTATTTTTCGTGAAAAAGTGGGAACAAAATATTTCTTAACTGCGGGCGCCAACTGTAGACTAGTCCAGAATGTCTACAGTACCGTATCGAACATGGAGAGATAACGAAAAAGTAGTAGATACTCGCCCTTCCAGGGTTGCGCGTGTGGTCATGGATTTGTTGTTTCCGGAACAAACACCCCCGTCTCGAGGATTATGGTATCTGAATGATGAGAAGAAGGTAATACGTGCATGGTCACAGATTGGCCTGAGTGTACTGTAGACGCTTGCGAGACACTATATTTCTAGCGAATGCTGAAACAGGCGGAGAAAATATTACGAAAGAATATCTTGGGAATCCCATACGACCCCCGCGTGAATCACGCTCAAGGTTACAGCGAGAAGGCTGCGGTGATTGCCCAACCTCCAAGAGATGTGCGTGAACTCCAGAAGAAACCTATAGCAAAAGAACAATTGTCATGGCCTCCAACGCAATGTACGTGGCTGGAACCGCTCCCATTGTCGCTCGGAAACTGGTTGTACCGAGTATCTTGTCCGGCCCGGCCGGTGTTTGACCCCACTGCTGTTGCCCGTGCTTCATGAGTTCCCCGCTCCTCCTTAACCGTCTCGTGCGTGCAGTAATCAAGCTTCTAGCGGGGCAGCAGCCGCCGGACCAAATGGACGAGGAAGGTCCGCCACCAGCGCCGCGAACAAAGCGCATGACAACCCACCCAGTATGAGGAAACCATTCATCTTGTAAGGTATTCATTTTTAGTCCGTTATGAAGGTGCATCCGTGTGTGGACGCATACACACCTAGGTCCTGTTGAAACTGTGCAACGCGGCCTACTCTTGTCTAATCCAAACTCAAAGGCTGCTCATTGACCGTCACCGGTCGCCCCGGTGGTCTAGTGGTATCCTCGTAATCCGCTAGTTGCAGTGGCCGTGAGTTCGAACCCCCATGGGGTGAAAATTTTACGAAATGTGCGGATGAAAGCGAAATATAGCTGACAAGCTCTCGTGAGTACCAAACTTCGACGTTAGCACCGTTGACGGGGTAAAGGGACGGCTGGACCCTTCTCGCGATAAAAATAAAAATTCAGCACGCACCGCAGGAGGAAGGTGGGGCATGAAAAGAATTAACAAGAAGAAAAAAGCCCTGGTGTTTACCCCCTCCTGTGTGACCCTGGATGGTTGTAGTTGTACGAAAAATACACTGAAAAGTGTAGTACTCTACATACGCTGAAAAGTGTAGTACACGTCTCACCACGAAAAATGGGGGGACTGTCGCCATAATAAATAGGACGAAAACACACACACACACAATCAGCAAGTGTGGCACCTATTTGACGGCGAAAGAATCCGGGCTTGCGTCCGCGGCGGAGTCCGATTGGTTCTTGTTGCCAATTGTGAAACTTGTCATCATCTGTTAGTCAATTCTATCGAGCGAGCTACACGGCCGGGTTGATTGAAGGAGCTGCGGACTCCGCATAACGCTCGTATGTGTGCATTTCGTGTAAAATGGCACTCAATTCACGCTTGCCCGTGTAATAATCTATAACTTGGACGCACCACCGTGCACCAGGCGTACCGTACTGTCCTTCGAGAACGCCCCCTCGCATGAGAAACCCCCCCACAAAAGCAAGTACCGCCGGGGTAGCAGACACGTCAAGGTACACCCGCCCGCGGCTTGTCTTATAGACCCGACATTCGTGGATCGGCGCTATGGTTTGTGTACAGGTGCCTCTCAACAGAAAAAATAACCTGTTTCAGTGTTTGAAAATGTCGCCCTCTACCTTCGAGAACGGCCCGGAGTGATGTTTTCGCCAAAGAACAAGACCACCCGCTCGAGGCCTTCTTAAATGATACTACGGTGTATATGAAGCAAGCGTGTACGACTCCTCCGTCGCCCCAATACCTCAATCCTTCGCCGCCGTTGCTCTGCGGTGATTTAACCTGCAGGGAAACACCGTGGCATCCTGGTTTGTCCTCGGAAACAAAGACATCATGTGGTACCTTGCAGAGTTCGTGGATCAGGACCAGTACTTGTTCATCGCTCCGGTGTCGAAGGCCTTCAGGCGCGCGTGGGGTCGATGAACTACGGTAACCCGACCCGTGGTGGCTGATACTTCCGTCAGGCAGCTCACGTACTGCTTGGAGCTCGGCCTGCCCTCGAGCATCATGCAAGCGACCATCTGCAACGCCGCTGCCCGTTTCGGCAGACTAGACCTCCTCAAGCTTGCCCAAGAGAGCGCTTATGGGTGGACCCCAGCGACTTGTGCTCAGGCCGCCAGGGGGAACACCTTGAGACCCTCCAATGGCTCCGCGCAGAGGGCTGTGGCTGGGATGAAAATATATGTGAACTGGCCGCCCTCGGAGGTCATTCCCTGGTTCTAAAATGGGTGAGGTCCCCAACCGAGAACTGGCCGACGGGAACAGTGGACCCGAACGCATGCCCTTGGGGCCCACGGGCGTGCGCCGTAGCTGTCTACGCCGGGTGCCACGACACTTTGAAATGGCTTCGTACACACGGCTGCCCCTGGGATGTAAGGACATGTGGATCTGCCGCAGCTGGCGGATTCTTCGACATTCTTCATTCGGCAGTTGCCCAAGGATGCCCTTTGGACAGCGAATCCTTACACTATACTGGGCAGCCCGCAGAGGAGATCTGCCCATGCTTAAGTGGCTCCGGAATAACAGCTGCCCTTGGGACCTTGAAGACGGGGGTCCATGCGCCGGGGCTTCACGTTTCGGTCATCTTGAAGTGCTAGTGTGGGCGAGGCGTAATGGATGTCCATGGAACTCGCGGACCTGCGCAGCGGCAGCGGATGGTGGTCACCTGGAAGTGTTGCAGTGGGCCCGAGAGAACGAGTGCCAGTGGGACCATGACACTTTCGCGTCGGCTACCTGGAGACAGCACTTTGGAGTTGTGCGCTGGGCACGAGCGAACGGCAGTCCTTGAGATAGTCGGGCTTGCGCGATGTCGGCTGCAAGAGGGAACCTCAAGATGCTTCAATGGCTACGTGAAGAGGGCTGTCCTAGGGATAGCGACACCTGCACCAAGGCAGCCGCGTACGGGCACCTCACAGTGTTGATGGCGAACGACTGCACATGGGACGGGGAGCTTTCAGACGTGGCAGACGCCAACGGCTACTGCTACATCCGTGGCTGGGTGAAGAATAACGTTTGGCGGACCACTCGCAAGCGACCATACCGCTTGATACCGAGTGGTGACACTGGGCGAAGTGCTTCCAATGCGTTACACACCCACTTGGTACCATTTGGTTGGTGGTAACGGACCCTCGCCAAGGAATTCCCTCAGTTAGCCCCGGGGGTGGGTATCGTCTTTTGTTCTTTTTGATATGTTGGCCCCGGAGGTGGACGCATGGGCCCAATAAGAAGAGACATCGAAGGCAGACGTTGGGAACGTAGAACTAGAAAAGGAGTTCACTGAGGACGAGGTTGAGGCGTGTGTGAACAAGCTGAAGTGCCACAAAGCAGCAGGAGCGGATGGGATAGTCAACGAGTTCATGAAGTTTGGGGGGAAGGGGATGATCCAGCTGATGGTACTGCTGTACAATTGGGTGTGGAAAAACGAGTATACGCCAAGTAGATGGAGGGAAGGAGTGGTTGTGAACTTGTTCAAGAAAGGAGACAAGACTGACCCAGGAAACTACAGGGGGATCACACTGTTGAACACAGTAGGAAAAGTGTTCTGTAAGCTGCTGAACGATAGGATAGTGGGAGTATTGGAGAAGGAACATAGCATTAGTGAGGGCCAGGCAGGTTTCCGCAAGAAGAGGGGGTGCGTAGACCACGTGTTCACGGTAGGGAGAATCATCCAAGGTAGAAAGAGGGCGGGAAAGCCGACGTACTGCTTCTTCCTGGACGTGAAAAAGGCATACGACACCGTATGGAGAAATGGGTTGTGGAAACAACTGTCCAAATACGGGATCAAGGGGAAAATGTGGAGAGTGCTGAAGAAGATGACAGAGTGCACGAAAAGCGCGGTCATGCTAGACGGAGAACTGTCAAAATTCTTCGACATTGAGCAGGGGGTCCCACAAGGTTGCACGCTGTCCCCAACATTGTTCCAGGTGTTCATCAACGATCTGTTGGAAGTCGTAGAGGCAGTCCGGAAGGGAGTAAAAGTAGGGGACACGGAAACGTCGGTTTCAGGAATGCTGTTTGCGGATGATTTTGTCGGTATGTCGGACACCCCTGAGGGACTGCAACTGCAAATTGACGCGGCGAAGAAGTTTACTGATAAGTGGAGATTGTCTGCCAACGTTCAGAAGAGTGCCGTCATGGTATGCAACGAGAACAAGGAGGAACCAGTAGAACATAGATGGAAGTGGGGGATCGAGGAGATTGCAGTAGTGGACCAGTACACATACCTTGGAGTAGAGATCGCAAAAGACTGCTCGTGGAATGCACACATGTCCAAGGTAGCGGAAAAGGGCAAAGCACGAGCAGGGAAGCTGCACCCAATACTCGCAAACCGGCACCTCGATACACGCATCAAATTGACGGTTTTGAAGAGCGTAATCGTACCGCCGCTAGAGTACGCCGGAGAAGTATGGGAAGGAAATAAGAAGGTAGTGAAAGAACTCGAGGCGGCGCAGATGAAAGCAGCGAAAATCATCCTAGGATGCTCCACGCGCACAAGTAATGCAGCCGTGAGGGCAGAATTGGGGATCCAATCCCTACGGTCGGGAAGAGACGCGAGGAAGCTGACCTGGCAGTATCGCATGTGCGGGATGGGAGAGGAGAGGTTGCCGAGAATTGTATGGGAGGCGAAGTGGGCAAACAAAAAGAGGGGTAGACAACCCACGGAATGGGTCAAGGTTGTAGAGGACGTATGGAAGGGGCTCGACATCGACGAAGATGAAACGCTGGAAACGGAGGGTCTACAGGGGTTCAAGGAGAAGATATCTGTTGCTTGTGCCGAGAGAGAAGAACAGAATCTGAGGAAAGAATCCAAGGATAAGGAGGGTCTAGAAGTGTACGGAATGTTGAAGGAAGGAATAGGGTTCAAGGACTACCTACATGGACCAATGGATGCAGGAACAAAGCTTAAGGTCAAATTCAGGACCGGGGACATAGGCCTTCGAGAACGTCGACGAAGACATAGGACGGTAGACGAGGAAGACGACGAGTTCAAATGTGATTGCGGCTTCGAATGCGAAGACCGTGTTCATGTAGTCGCGGAATGTCCGTTGTACAAGAAGGAGAGGGAAGTGTACGTGACTGAGCTGGGAAAAATAGATGGAACGTACAGGGAGATGTTTGAGGCATGGAATAGAGAGGAAAGGACGGTAGCTGTACTGGGGCATAGGAGGTGGGTTGAAAAGGCGGGAAGGGATATCGTTAGGATAGACAGACTAGGGAAGACATTTTTGAGCCACCTTTGGCAAAGTAGGAAGGAACGATTGGCCATCGGTGATCGGTCCTGTGGGAACAATGCTCCGTCCTCTCGAGGACGCGTGGTCAATGGTCTAACCGCTAAGACATGCAAAACATAAGAGTACCTTTGAGTTAGCCCCGAGGTGTTCTTTTTTCGGCAAATGTTTGGGGCGTCCGGCGGGCCGTTTGCTGGCAAACCCACGGACGGCATTCCATTGTGGCAGCATTCTGTGTGTGTCAGTTGCCGTATTGTTGTACAGTAGGTATTCCGATATAGTGCCGTTAGAATAGTGCCAAAGTCCGGTATAGTGCCGGCAAAATTTCTTGACACAGACACAGACCTGAATAGTGCCTAAACCGGCACTATTGAGGGCTGCCCGCTATAGTGCCGGTTCAGGCACTATCGAACCTCTCAATGAGCCATGCTACGGTAGGGGGGTCACGTTTTTGGGCCCATATTACACTATTGATAGTGCCGGTTCACACCCCACACACAGCCTTTTTTCGCCTCAAGCCTTCCACGCCAACAGGATTCGGAGACGGTTTCCCTTCGTGCTACAAGCATAGATAGCTCGGTTTCTCTCGGTACGCGTGACGTCTTCAAATATCACGGTTTACCGATCTACTAGGTTCCACCAATTGGCTGGGATTTCAGTAGGGAGGCGAGTGAAAAAGAAGATGGTGGTAGTGACGAAGGATGGATATGGAAACTGTAGCCAAGGATAGCAGTGATGATGCAGGAGGAAAATATGGTGTTGAGGGGAACAACAAGAGTTTCGAGCGAGATGACCTTCCTTACAACAAACGCCGCAGGGGCGCAGAGTCCAGAGATGAAATCCCGAAAAATAGTGGAAATATATTGGACTAGTGAAGGGTGTAGCCATTTTTTATTGAAAGGAAATTTCTGATTGGCCAAAAATCCCTGGTCGACGTGGATGACGACATCGAACGACCAGGGATTTTTTGCCCTTTCTTTGGAACGGTCTTTAAAAAAATTGGCCAATCAGAAAATTGCGGGCACCTTTTCTCTAGTAGTGGTGGTAAATAAAATACCTCTAAGGAAGGATGAGAACACTCCGAACAAACGCGTGTTCAAAAGTAGTAAGCCTTGGCAGTCACGTAGTTCTCCTCTCTCGGTTGCTACCATTTCTATCTTTTATCCAGAGAATAGCTCAGCCTCCTCCATGACACCCTCTCACTTCCTTGACAATCAAATATTTTCTGTTTTTGACTNTTTTGCCCTTTCTTTGGAACGGTCTTTAAAAAAATTGGCCAATCAGAAAATTGCGGGCACCTTTTCTCTAGTAGTGGTGGTAAATAAAATACCTCTAAGGAAGGATGAGAACACTCCGAACAAACGCGTGTTCAAAAGTAGTAAGCCTTGGCAGTCACGTATTTCTCCTCTCTCGGTTGCTACCATTTCTATCTTTTATCCAGAGAATAGCTCAGCCTCCTCCATGACACCCTCTCACTTCCTTGACAATCAAATATTTTCTGTTTTTGACTGCACTGAGACTGACGACGTCTTTTGGTTGGCCAGTCGTTTTTCTTGCTTCTGAAGGCTTGGTCTTCTCTCTAGCTTATCATCGAAGGAACAGGGGAGTTCGTTATCTTCTTCACCCCTTTGTTGCGTTTCATCTTCTTATTTTGTGTGCTCATGTAAGGAGGACTACATCCACATCCATGTTTTACCTCCAAATGTACACCGGGTGCATCCATGAGCGTCTTTCTTTCGCTGTCCGGGATGCCTTTGAGGTTGCCGCAAGAAAAATTATTTGATAGCGAGGTGATGAACTTTTATCGGGCAGCACGGTCTACGGTTGAAAGGCAGCAGCAACGTTTCTAGCTAGTGCTTGCGCTGAGTGAGGTGGGAAAAGAACAACTGCTGTGCAACAAATCTATCTGGTCAATCAGGTTCATTTTAGTGTGACCAATTATTAAGGAGCTCCAGCTGTTGGAAGCAGCTGGGTCCTTACAGGTAAAGAAAGAGGTACGGTCGCTTGATGCCTTGTCTCCACGAATGTGTAGAAATGAGATGTTGCTTGAATTAAGAGCGGGGAAAAGGTCTGGTTGAGGAGGGGATCCTCCTGTCAACCAGGGGGCACGCAGACAGCTGAGTTCTGATGTGGTATGATCCCTTAGAGATATACCTCCCGGACAACCCACATCCGATTCTAGACCAAGATGTACCCTATCTAAGCCCTACAGCAACACTCCTCAACACTAGCCCACCCTGAAGGTCATCCATACAGATTCTATACTCAAATCCAATAGGCTCGATCCAGAAGAAAGAGCTGATTTTAAAGGAATGCCCGCCCGACGGTGGCTTGCCTCCTAGATGTAGTAGATGTAGATTCTGCCGTAGACACTCTTGTCCACGAGCACGTTGAGATGG